TCCTTCCTCTGAGGAGGCGGGCGGAAACCCAATCTATTTCCAACGCCTTCCTACTTCATGTTTCTACCTACTTCTTCCGACCGATGGGTAGGCCTCCCAGATGGGGTCCAAGCAGATGGGGTCGAAAGAATCGGCCGCATCGCCGATGCATCTCCGATACAGCATCGAATCGGCGATGTATCGTCTATGCATCGTTTGTGCGTCGACTGTCTCCCTCCGAGTACGGTAGGTTCGCGTCGCGTCGACCGGCTGCGACCCCTGCGCGGGCGGTTCAGGTTGAGCGCCGCCCGTTGCCCAGAGTCGGCCCGTCGTTGAACGATTTGGCGATGCTGCATCGGCCGATCGTTCAAGTTTGATAGATCCCCCCGGTGTCAGGAACCAACGCCGTGGTCGACACGATGTGAACCTGCCGTTCTGGAGTCGGAGGATCGCGATGCATCGCCGATGCATCGCCGATGTATCGCCGATACATCGCTGATGCGGATTCATTGCCGATGTATCTCCGATACATCGCCGATGCATTGTCGATGTATCGACGACATTGGAAATTCATCGGTGACGTCGGCGTGGAGAAAGTCGGGCTCCACATTGAGCCGCATCGCCGATTCATCGGCGGTGCGGCGCGATCCTCCGACCCCATCGGGTAGGCCTCCAATTGAGCCACGAGGAGGAGTCAGAGAAATAAGATGTACAGATACCGTAACATAACCATTATCCGTAAGGGCTTCGCCCCATGCCGCCGGCCCCCTGTCTCGGATAATGGGAGATGCAAAAGCTAAATCATGAGGTCTGGGCGCCGCCGTGAAGCAGTGTCGGGACCTGTTTGTTTTTCGACCTTGATCCCGCCGATCTGCGTGAGGGGTGCCACCGAATTTCAGGAATGTGGGAAATCCCATGTGTTTTTGGACCCTGACCCCGCCGATCTGCGTGAGGGGTGCCACCGAATTTCAGGAATGTGGCAAATCCGATGTGTTTTTGGACCCTGACCCCGCCGATCTGCGTGAGGGGTGCCACCGAATTTCAGAAGTGTGGCACATCTTTTGTGTTTTTGGACCCTGACTCCGCTGATCTGCGTGAGGGGAGCTGCCGAATTTCAGGAATGTGGCAAATCCGATGTGTTTTTGGACCCTGACCCCGCTGATCTGCATGAGGGGTGCCACCGAATTTCAGAAATGTAGCAAATCTTTTGTGTTGTTGGACCCTGACCCAGCCGATCTGCGTGAGGGGTGCCACTGAAGTTCAAAAATGTGACAAACCCCTTGTGTTTTTGGACCCTGACCCTGCGGATCTGCGTGAGTGGTGTCTCTTTTTACCCTCCCTTGAAATTCTGAGAACCCTCCCAGGGCGTGGTAGTTCTACTGGTTTGGGCTCCCCCCCTCGCGCATTCATCAACAAGGACCAGTAAGCAGCAAGAAGCAGAACTGTAACAGTGGAAACTGGAAGCTGCAACTGGTACAGGGAGCAGCACATTCCCGGCCTACAGCCTGGTGGCCCCGCAAGGGGGCCGGCGGATTTCACCGCCTGGCGATAACGGGCGTGACTTGGGGGGGAGGCGGGGCCCGGGACAGGCTTTACCTGTGTGGGGGGGGCTGTTGTCGTCACAATTCGCGTCGGCGCCGTCTGAGAATGCCAAGGGGTGACTAGGGGGGAGGGGGGGCGGAGTCGGTAACGGGCGTAATCTCTTGACTACTACAAAGATTGGCTGTACTCTTCCCTCGTGTTCGACTTTGTGGGCCTCTTCGAATGCCCTAGTCGCCACCTGCTGGATTCGCTTTGAGATTCTTGTCAGAAGGCGCTCTGGGAGAGGCCTTGGGAGTATGCAGTAAGGGGGGCAGGGGGGGAGGGGGAGGGGCAGGTGGCAGAGGAGGTGGGGCCGAGCAGGACGAGTAGGAGGATCAGGAGGAGGAGGAGGAGGAGGAGGTGGCGGTCAATGGGAGCCCTTCGTGAGAGCCTACGTGAGGCGCGTGAGGATGCCACCGCTGAGAATAATTTCCGTTCTTGACCGCAGCGGCGCCTGTGATAAAAATGAGCACCACACAGCCCTCTGAGGATGCGGTTTCTGAGGATGGAGTTTCTTGACGATGGAGTTCCTCAGGCTGGAGTGTCTGATGCAGGAGTTTCCGAGGGTAGAGTTTGTAAGGGTATTCGAGACATGAGTTCTGGGGTTGGAGCGTCCGAGGATGGAGGTCATGAGGGCCCTCCCAGGGCCTGAGCTTGAACGATCCTTCCGAGGATGGAAATCTTTTTGAGGATGGAGATTGTGAGGATGGAGTTTCTGTGGGCCCTCGTTGCGCATGAGCTTCAACGATCCGTCCGAGGATGGAGCTTTTGAGGATCGAGTTTCTAAGGATCGAGTTTCTGAGCTATGATTTTCCGTGAGAGCGCTCCTGGGGCATAAGTAGTAGTAGTCGTCGTTGTAGTCGTAGTCGCAATCGTAGTGCTAGTCGTCATCGTCATCGTCGTTGTTGCGCGGCGGGCGCCGTGGGTGAATACGTTTATGCGCTATTGGTGGGGCCCCATTCCGTCAATATGGGGAGGTCAGGACTTGACTCAGAATTTGACGCGCTTCTTTTTATCCGTAAGGGCTTCGCACCCTGCCGCCGGCCCCCTCTCTCGGAGAATGGGCCATGGAAGAGCTAAGTCATGAGGCCTTGGCGCTGTCGTGAAGCAGTATCGAAACTTCATGCGAAGCCGATTCGCAATCAGCAAAACCAACTGATCACAAGAGGGGTTACCACACCTGGCGATTGGTAAGACGTGTATGGTTTACGGGCTTGGTTACCACACCTTGCGATTAAAGGGCCGAGGGAGTTCTCGCAGTTTGGGTTACCACGCCTTGCGATGGATGTGCGTGAAGGGTGGCACCGAATTTCAGAAATGTGGCAAATCCCCTGTGTTTTTGGACCCTGACCCCGCGGATCTGCGTGAGGGGTGGCACCGAATTTCAGAAATGTGGCAAATCCCCTGTGTTTTTGGACCCTGACCCCGCGGATCTGCGTGAGGGGTGGCACCGAATTTCAGAAATGTGGCAAATCCCTGTGTTTTTGGACCCTGACCCCGCGGATCTGCGTGAGGGGTGGCACCGAATTTCAGAAATGTGGCAAATCCCTTGTGTTTTTGGACCCTGACCCCGCGGATCTGCGTGAGGGGTGGCACCGAATTTCAGAAATGTGGCAAATCCCTGTGTTTTTGGACCCTGACCCCGCGGATCTGCGTGAGGGGTGGCACCGAATTTCAGAAATGTGGCAAATCCCATGTGTTTTTGGACCCTGACCCCGCGGATCTGCGTGAGGGGTGGCACCGAATTTCAGAAATGTGGCAAATCTTTTGTGTTTTTGGACCCTGACCCCGCCGATCTGTGTGAGGGGTGTCGATTTCGAGCCCCCCCAGCAATTCAGACAACGCGCCCAGGAGGTGCTAAATATTTGGTTTGGGCCTCCCCCCCCCTCGCGCGGTCAATCAACTAGTTACAGTAACCAGCAAGAAGCAGAACTGTAACACTGGAAACTAAAAGCTACAACTGGTACAGGAAACTGCGAACCCGCGCCTACAGCCTGGTGGCCCCACAAGGGGGCCGGCGGACTTTATGGCGTACGTTCTGGCATGACCAACGGGCCATGGGGTGGGGCAGGAAAATATTCGTTTGTCTGTATACGGTGTTGGTAGAGGGTTCTCATCCAGCTGCCTACAGCCATTCCGCCACAGTGCCAGCGCAGCATGATGGGCGGTAGCTATTCGAAATGGCAAAGGAGGCCTGGTGGGTGCCTCCTGAGGCAGAAGGTTCGGAATCCGGGTTCGCATTCCCACTCGTGGGTCCTTCTTGGGGCCATGTTGGGGCCCTCTTGGGCAGGCGTGGGCGCCTTTTGGGCCGTACTGGAGCTCTCTTGGGGGCCTCATGCGCCGTTTCGGTGTGTTTTGGAGGCCTCTTGGGACGTCTTCGAGTCGTGAGCGTCGGAAGCTTGAAAAGGCGACAATTCATTGTTTTTTCTAGGGCGCCTCCTTGTTTGCATGTTTGGAACCTCCTGAGCTCACATGGGGCGGCAGGCTCGAATTGTCGGTTCGTGTTCACCCTCGAGAGCCCTTCTTTGGGCCGTCTGTCTTGGGGCCCTCTTGGGCATTCGGGGGCACCTCGTGGGCCGTCTCGGAGCCCTCTTGGTCCGTCTTGGGGCCCTCTTGAGGGGCTTTTGGGGCCGTCTTGGGGCAGTGCTGGTGGCCTTCTGGGTCCTCCTGGGGCGTCCAGAATTCGAGCAGGCGAGAACCTGAATCACATAACAACTTCAGGTCAATCGTTTTTTTTGCCTCTCGAGGCCCTCTTGGGACGGCTCCGGGGCATTCCTGGGACGCGTCGACGGCGTCGTGGGCCGTCTTGCAGGTCATCTTGGGCCGTCTTGACACCAACTTGACACGTTTGGGAGCGATATTTGGTCGTCTTGGAGGCCTCTGGGCCTCGGGAGCGCGAGCGCGTTGCATTTTGCGAGGGATGTTGGCCTCGGGAAGAAAGGGGTGGTGCGCGCGACGACAGACCTTGGCAGTCTGCCACGTCTCAGCGTGAACAAGGCACGGTGGCGGAAAGTGGCAGAAACAAAAACAAACACGAACACAGACGAGTCCCGCAAGGGGGGACGGGGCGCCCGAGAACGCTGGTGCCGGCAGCCGTTTTGCCTCTCGTCTCGACGTTGGCCATTCTTCCGTTCTTGACGGCCACGATCCTTTGCAACAGATGCACCACGGTGCGCGTGGCCCGTGCGCGCACCCCTGTCGCTCCTAGGAGTCCTTGGGGTTCGTAGGAATGTACGTTCTCACCAGCCGTGCTCCTAACTCCTCGATGTGCGTTCTCACCGTTGCTGCCGTGGGGTGTTTTGCCGGAGTACGTGGTTCAAGACGTCGAGAGGTCTGCGGATGCCTTCCCTCTTCGGGCGGCACGTTCTGGCACAGCTTACATCCGAGGCTCTGCCCTGGTCAGCCGGAGCCCCCCCCCCACGCGGCCCGCGGCGATCCAGCTGGCCATGGGCTCTCTTGACTCGCCCGACCTTGGCATGAAGGCGCCACCGAGGGAATGGAATACGGGGGTGGGGCGCAGGGTTGCCATGAAGGAAGCAGTTCCTGGGGCAGCTGCGTCCAGAGTCTTTGCGACGTTTCTGGCCTGGGGCCCTACCTGGGCTCCGGGCTGTCAAAAACGACTCAGGCTAACAAGCTAGTTTTGAGGCAAGGCCTTAGGGTTCAGGCCTTGTTTCCTTCAGGACCTGTTTCCATGACTTGGAGAAGGGAGGGGACATGTCAGGCAGTCCTGGGACAAGGATAAGTCGTGCTGGAGCATTTCGGATCGCTCTCAGAGTGTTCTGGAGCGCTCTGGATCGGCCGCGGCGCCCGATACGTCCCTACATCCTCAAAGCCCGCCAGCGCTGAGATAGTTCCGATTGATCTCGGTCCGATGTTATCCTCGGCCTATTCCCCTAATCGCCAGACCCTGGTACGAGGGCGCGACCGATAACGTGTCTCGCCCGACGCGTTCCTCGTGGTTCGTCGTCCTGAAGCAGTCAAGACGGATATTCGTGCTGCTATGTTTCGGCATCTGGTTGTCGTTTTCGCCCCCCCGGGCCATCAGACAACAATCCGGGGCAACAGAAAACGCCGTTGGAAAGGGTCGATGAACCAGACGTCTGCTAGCCCAATGTGTGCTTACCCGGTTCGTCAACTCCACCCGTAGTTACAGTAGACATGTGGACTAAGAAATTGGCCTGCCATCGGGTGCCCGACGAGAATTTATTTCCCCTCGGTTGGCGCAGAGACCCATGTGGTTCCTTGCGAGGCCCCAGGTCGACGAAGGATGTGTCCCGACAGTCAAAGCGCTGGAATAAGGACGGTGTTGGGTTCGGAAGGGCCCGCTGTTCCTCAGGTCATTCCGTGTTCGTTCCTCTAGCCCTCCTCGTGCACCCAGGCTCCGTTGGCACCAAAAAGGGGTTTCGCTCAACTTGACTAGTGTTTCTATAGCAAGATGTATTGTTGTATTTGGTTGCTGTAGCGCGCAGCCCGCCTTCCTCCTCAGCCTCTCCTGCTTCGGACAAGGTATCTGTCTCGTTTCGTTGGCCACCGATACCTGGGGAGATGCATTGGCGAAGGCAGGCGTCCGTGCCTCTCTCGCGCATCTACGCTGTCTGAACCCAGTCTGTGGGCCGCGAGTTTCCTCCCTCCTCTTACTCCTCCTTCGGCGACCTCACCACAGGCGCGCCCGCGCACCAGGCGTCTGCCTAGGGCCCAGGGCGGGATCTGAACCTTCTTGCACGCTGCGCTCCTGTAAATTGTCATCCTCATTCTCCTCCTCCTCCTGACCCTCTTCCTCGCTCCTTCCTTTTGTTTTGTCTTCCTGTGGGTCGCTGCTTTACCTTGCCGTGCTGTCGCCCTCCGGCTCGATCCTCGTGGGCGTATGGCTCGGTGTGGTGGCTCATGGAGTTGGTGTTCGTGTCCGACGCCTGGACCCTGTTCTGCGGGTTTCACGCTTCGTGGCCCGTGGCCCAACAGGAAGCTACACCGAAGGCCCCAGTGGCGGTGGCCCCAAGCAGCCCCGCCCGTGTCGGCACCCACCCGCGCATCTCGTGGCACCATGTGGGAGTTGCACCGAGGGCCCAGTAGGCACATCCGTATGCACATCCCTCACGCTTCGTGGCCCCATAGGGAGCTCCACCGAAAGCCCAAGTGGCGATGTACGCATGGCGCCACCCCGCCCATGTTGGCGCATCCCTCAAACGTTTCTTGGCCCCGTACGGCCCCAGTGGCGGTGTCCGCATGTGGCGGCGCGCCCATTGTGCACCCCGTCGCGCGGATTGTGCCCCGCAGGGAGCTCCACCTGTGGCCGCAGTGGGAGAGTCTGCATGCGGCAGTGGCCCCAGAGGGAGAGTTCATATCCTGGTGCGCCCATGTCGGCACATCCCTCACTCGTTCCATGGTTCCGTAGGAACCTCTTCCGAAGGCCCCAGTGGCGGTGATTGCATGCCGCCTTGCCCAGTTTGGCCCACGCACACACACACGAGATTCCGTCCGTTCCATTTTGGCGAACCAACTGCAGTGTGCGCAAAGTCTGGGACTGTGCTTGAGCGTCAGCCTAAGCTCGCCTGTGCCAGAGCTCTGCGAGCGCCCTCCCCAGTGCTCCAAGGCATCCCAACTCCAGGAAACGAAAGCCATCCATAGGCCTCGTCAACTTCACAAGGAGTAGCGAACAGGCTGCACCAACCTAGGGAGATGTGCATGGTTTACCGTGCACAAGACTCAACCCTGAAGCAGGAGGATGATGTGTTAGGTTGAAAACTTTGGTAGAAGCGCGAAGCACGACGATCCCGATCGAACGGCATGTACCCTGCAGTCGATCGTGCGGCGTGCGAGATGTGCATAGTCATGCGGGAACAGAGGCACGTAACACATGACATCACCAGCGCCTATTGTAAGCTGCTTGAAGCAGACACACACCACACAACAATCAACACACAAGCACGCACACACACACCACCACCCAGCACACAACACACAACGCACAACACACAACACACATATAGCACACACACACACGCAACACACACACGCACGCACAATTGTTTGGCGGTCGCGGCCTCGCTCGCAGCGACGAGGAAAAAACTTCAAGTGCAACGGCCGGGCCAGCGCGCCAGGCTCAGAGGGGGCGGCAGCATATGCCATCCAGTCGTGGACTGCGGGGAGACAGGACGAACCGACCACCGACCGGGGAAGGTCCCGCACGGAAGGCGCAGCAACGACACGACAAACGACAAGAGGAGCGAACGATCGACCAGGAGTGAATGGGTCACAGCCGACGGCAGTCGAGGGCGGGGGGATGCGGACGTAGATGGAAATGGCAGGATGGCATGGACGGCACTCAGCGCCATGACTTCCGACGCACTCACACACACGCACACACGCACACGCACAGGCACACACACACACACTCTTTCACACTCTCACACACACACACCTCACACGCTTCGTGGCCCCATCGGGAGTTCCCTGGAAGGCTCTGGTGAACGTCCGCATGGCGCCGCCCCGCCCATTTCGGCACAGCCCTCAGCTCCGTCTTGGCTGCTCAGGGACCCCCCCGTACGGCGCGGCGCGCCCATTTCTGCACCCCCTCACGCGGACCGTATCCCGCAGGGAGCTCCGCCTGTGGCTCCAGCGGGAGGGCTCGCATACCCTTCATTCGCATGAACCGTGCGTGGCTCATAGGCAGCTTCACCTATGGCCCCAGAGGGCGATTTTGTATTCAGTGGTGCGCCCGTTTCTGTACACCCATCACGCGGATCGTGCCCCGCATTACGGCTCCAGTGGGCGCTCCCCCACGCGGAGCATGCCCTACAGGGGCTTCCGCGTGCCTGCTCTTGCTTGCTACGAAGCCCCACGTCCGCATTGCCCCGCGGCACGCATTGTGTGACAAGACGACCACGCTCTGCGCTTCACGCAGCTGCATAGGGCCAGTCCCTTCGCAAGGGATTGTCTAAATCTGTCGCCGAGCTCCACAGGCCCACGGAGAGCCACAAGCGTCCAACAACCTCTGTTATCATCCCCCGCCCCCTCATGTCGTCAGAATCATCATTATCATCACCACCGTCACCATCACCACCATCATCATCATCATCATCATCATCATCATCATCATCATCATCATCATCATCATCATCATCATCATCATCATCATCATCATCATCATCATCATCATCGCCATCATCATCAGTATCAGCATCATTATCATCTGCATCATCGCCATCGCCACCATCATCATCATCAACAGCATCAGCATCATCATCATCATGATCATCATCATCACCATCACCACATTTAGCATCACCCCTGATATTGTTTTCTTCGTTATCATCATCATTCCTTGTCATGCTCGCTCTTCGCTCATCCCTGCTCGAACGACGACCAACCAGGAAGAGAACTTTCCTCAGACCCTTCACCTCCTGCTCCACCTGCTCCTCCCCCCTCCTCACTCCTCATTTCTTCCTCCCTCCCTCCTCGCTCCTCGCGCCTCCTGTCTCGCCATTATTCTTATCTCCCCATGATTCCTCCCCCCATCTTCCCTCCCACATCGTTCCCTCCCTCCCCCGCCACGCGCCTGAGGCTCCTTATAATGAGGGACCGGCATCCCCTGAGGGCCACCCCCCCGAAGCGGCTGGAAGGTGTGTCCTCGCTTACACGTAACAGTGTCCCTTCGATAGAGTTACTTTTGGTGCTGGCCCCAAGTAAGTCGGGTGAGCTTTCTTTTGGAATGAGCTTGACCTCGCGTCGACACCCGTATCGCGTGGTTGCGCTTGTATCTGAGCGGGCCAGGTTTGGGCCCCCCCTTGCTATCGACAGCAACGCATACGCGGAGCACCCTGCAAAGTGCGTTGGTTTCCCGTGGGGTGGCCGTTCGACTGGGCGGCGCGTTTTCTGTGTCAAGAACAGTCACGAATCCCAGCCCAAATCCCAAATTCTCGGATTTGTGAATATTTGGCTATCTTTGAATATGTGTGGATATCTTCCTTTGAATATGTTTGAATATCGTGCTTGAACCAAGGGGTGCCTTTATTATGGTAATTTGCCCAAATATATTCGAAGATATTCAAACATATTCCGAGCCGGTTTTTGGCCATGCTGCTGGACTTGGTAAGACGTTATCGCAACGCGGCCTGGCAGTGCCAGACCTCATCGTGGTGACCCCAGCAGCGTCTGTTTTCGCAGCGCCTTTGAATTGCCACTCGCGGAGTTCGAATCCAACTGGCGGAATTCCGCGATTGCCCGTTGGCACAAAACATCGTTCAATGCGCGTCCCGCCGAACGTAGGTGAGGCGCGGCAGGACTGGCTTGCGCGGTTGTGTTGGGCCTCCACGGGAGCCTTTGAGCCCGCGCGCCAAAGGTCACTCTAGCCTAGTGTCATTCTTACGTGCAGTCGATGTCCGCGAGCGAAGCCGGCGCCTCCGTTGGGTGGTCTCGCCCGCCGCCTGGAGTCGAGTTGCGCGGGTCCATGCGTCCCTCTCTGCCTCATCGCCACGTCTTTCTCCACCCCCCTCGCTCTTCCCTCTCCCCCTCGATCTCTCCCTCCCTTCCTCGCTGGAGCCCTCGCTCTGCCTCGCCCTCCCCTCCGCCGGCGCGAGGAGGATGAGGAAGAGGGGGGGATCCGAGGGGCTTTGAGGAGGAGCTGGGGCTGGGGTGGGTCGAGGAGAAGGAAGAGGAGAAGGAGGAGGGCCTGTGTAAACCCAAGACCCATCAATGATGCTGCAATCAACCCTCCCTCCAAGCACTCCCCCCTACAAGAATATAGCTTCGTTGCGGGAAGTTCCCCAGTGAAAGACGCCGTCTGAGAATCCCCAGTCGTGCCAGCACATACGCCTGGGATTTCAAAGCCGCGATTGAACGTGATTGTTGCGTCCTGGCAGTCCTAAATCGCGCTGCAGCACCAGTCCTGGGACTTCAATACTGCACAACTGTACTGCTGCGTCCTCACAATTCACTGAACATGTTGCACACTTGTAACCAAACAACTCGTGGCCACCGCTTCCCACTTTTGAGTCTGGTTTTTTGTTGTTGGACGACTGCGCACAGCTTTCAAACGAGGCCCACATTTTGAAGACTGCCCGTCATCCATCTTCAAGGTTGCAGCACACTTTTAGGATGAATGTGCCCGGCGCGATGGCGAGAGTCACATTTAGATAACGACCCGCCCTCCACCTTTCAAGCTGTTGCAAAATTGTGGGGACGAATGTGCGCGGCCCCAAGACGACAGCAACCTACTGAAACGGAGCAGCCCTCTACCTTTGCAGTTGTTGTAGATTTGTGAGGCGAATGCGCGCGGTCCCAAGACGAGAGCAACATATTCAAACGGAGCAGGCCGCCACCTTTGAAGCTGTCTCACACCACATATCAAACGAGTTCGCGCGCCGCCGAGGCGAGAGCCACAGTTCAACACCGAGCTGCCCTTCTTCTTTCCGTCTGATGCATTTTTAGGACGAGCGTGCACGGCGCCAAGACGAGAGCCACATGTTGACAACGACCCTCCCTTCATTTCTGGAGCAGTCGCTGGGTAGTCGAAGGCCAGACTGTCAGATTGGATTGGGCCCCAAGGGCCAATCTGGCCTGGCCAAACTGGATGATTTGGGCTATTCGCCAGATTGGATTCGCGTTGGCTCCCTCGCCAGATTGCCCCCGTTTGCCAGATTGGGCCTGCCAGATTGGCGCCATATTGGCTTCGACTACCCAGAGTCGCGAACTTTTATCGTGAATGTGCGCGGTCCCAGACGCGGGTGTTTGCAAACGGCCCGCCCTCCATCCTTCAAGCGGTTGCACACCTTTCAGACGAATGCACGTGGCGCTAAGACGAGAGCTTCGTTTTGACAAGGAACTGCCCTCCATACTTGAAGCTGTTGCGAACTGTTTCAAGACGAATGTGCGCGGCGCTTGGGCGAGAGCCACTTTTGGAAACGATCCGCCATTCACCTGTGAAGCTGCTACACATTTTTATAAGCTTCAGGATCACCAATGGTGAGGAAGTCTCATGCGAGACGCCCGGCCAGCCCTCCGCCACGTCCGTGGGTGCGACAGGGAGCAGTTGTTTATAAGCATAAGGGATGGAGGAGGAGGAGGAGGAGGAGGAGGAGGAGAAGGAACCGTGGGGGCGGCGAAGAGGTGGAGAAGGAGTCGGAGGAGCAAAGGGGGGGGGGGGCGAGGTGGAGCGAAGCGCGCAAGCAGAAGTGCCTCCTCGCCCCTCGCTCCTTGCTGCCGAACCCTCCCCGCTTGCGCGGCCGCTTCAGGCCACCGACCCGCTCGTGACGGAGCTCGAGGCGGAGGGCGGCGGCGTGAACCCAGGGCCGCCGGCCGTCGCGCGCCGTGCGCTGCGAGGACCCCGCGCGCCGCCTGCTGGGCCGTCGTCGTCGTGCACAGGACCTCCAGCGTATTGAACAATCGAGTTCGAGGCTCGAGATTTTCTGGCGTGTTCTGCAGTTCTCTGATGTTTTCCAGCCTCGGGATGCGTTCCAGCAGCTGCGCCTCGCCGAGGGCTTTCCCGGGGTGCTCTGATTGTCCCGAACGGCCGCCGCAGTCCCGAGTTATGACACGAAAACCAGTACACTTCGAACGTATTGAGAAATCAAGACGGATGTCCCGAACGGCCGCCGAACGTCCCGAGTTATGACCAGAAAACCAGTACACTTTCGGTTTCCGGGGGCCCTCGCTGGGCCCCCCAGGACTGTTAACAGGCGACCCAGGATGAGGATGTGGCCCTGGGATTCGGGTCGGCACGTTGGGGGGCCCGCATGGAACAACTCAAGACATCGGATGTCTGGGGTTCGTCGTCGTCGTCGTCGCTCGCCGCTCGCAGCTCGCTGCTGGTCGTCGTCGTCGCTGGTCGTCGTCGGCGTCGATCGTCATCGTCGATCGCCGATCGCCGCCCGTCGTCATCGTCGTGGGTCGTCGTCGTCGTCGCCGTCGTCGATCGTCGTCATCGCTGGTCGTTGGTTGCGCATTAACTTTTTTTTTACAGCAGCAGGCGGAAGCGCCAGCGGCGGAAGGTCGCGAACGGGCCGCGGACGCGACTAAATTACCTAACGCGCGCAGGGTTGGTTGCGCATTAACGGAAGGACGAAGTATGGATCGAGGAGTAGAGCTTCAGGCCAAGGGCCAAACCGCTGCATGCGGCCTCGCGCAGGCTCCTCGCGGCGTCCTGAGTCCCTAGGTGGGCACTGCCTGCTCACGGAGCTGCGTGCCTGCTTGCCCTGCTGCAGAGGCCAGCCCGAAGACCGCGAGGCCCGTGCCCGCCTGGGGCCGCGACGCATCTGGCCAACGACAACGGCTGAAGGCGACGGCAGACGATTCCGAGGCGGGGAGTCATCCACGATCACCGCCTGCGGGATCGATCTTCGGGGACCTCGGCAGGCAACGTATGTGAGCATAGTCGGGCTCCGGGGGGACCAACTATTTGGATTTGGCTGTCGAGGGGTGCTTTTAGAGCGTCCAAGTGCATGTCGAAGAAATCTGTGCAATAGAAGTGATTTATGCAGACACAGCGTGCCCAATCCTCTTGCCCGCAACTGTGACTGGTTGCAGCTGGCTGTCGGGTCTGGGCGCCTAGCTGGGGGACCAACTAAATGTCCAGATCAGCCGCCTGCTGACGTCCTCGAAGATCGATCCCCCTGGCCTCTGATATGGATTACCTTGAGATCCGACGTCGCGAAAAAATAGCATGCCGTAGGTCAGCAATCACTACTGGAGCCCTATACCCGTTTGTCTGCGCAATTTTTCGAGCCAGTCGGTCTGTGATGGTCCTGGGGCCCGAAGCCGAACGAAAACGTCCAGCTCGAAGAAACTGAGACGCCAGGATCTCAGGGTATAGTCCCCTCGCAGACGACGACGGATGCCCACGACGGCCGACGGCGGCGGCGGCAGCGGCCCGCCACGATGCGCCTTGTCAGCCTGACACGTATCCCGATCCCTATGTTTGGCATCACCTTGGCCCGGTGCCGATCTGAAGGATTCCCCCCAGTTTCTGAGGGCACCTCCCATGATTGTCATCGCCTCTGGCTTGCCGACCTTAGGGGTGGGGAGACCTGTTTGCGCCAGGGCCTCGCGCCGCCCTGGCCGCCGCCGCCGGCTGCGCAGCCCTGCTGGCCGCGGTGGCCGCCGCGGCGCGGCAGCAGCCTGGGGACAGGTGGCGCCGCCCGGCCCTCGGCCTCGGCAGGCGCGGCGCGGGGCCGCTCCGCGCCGCGCCGCGGCCGCGCCCGCCGTGGCTCAAGAAGCTTAGCCGGAGGAGGAAGAGGTGCCTACACCCCGCTACCTTTCCCTCGTTTTCGCCCTCCTGGGGCTCCTGAAGGCCCCTCGTTGCCACCGCTGGATTCGGTTCGAAGTCCTGGTCAGACAGCACCCCAGGAGAGGTCCGAGGAGCAGCAGTGTGACGGAAGGCGCGCGTAGCGTCGCAATCCTTTATCCGGGAGACGTAACAAGGGGGGTTTTGGGGGGTAGGCAGCAGCACCCCCAGATAGCGGAAAGCGCGCATGGCGTCGCGATTCGTTAGTCAGGAGAAGTAACGAGGGGCAGAGTGGGGGGGTAGGCAGCCCGGGCGTCAGATGACGGAAAACGCGCGTAGCGTCGCGATCCGTTAGTTGGGAGAAACATCAGGGGTGTGTGGTGGGTGGCAAACCAGGTTTCAAATCGAATGGCCCAAAGTTTGACAATTTTCGGCCCAAGGCGGCCCAAGTCAGCCGCAAGAGCGCCGAAGAGGCCCCCACGACGGCCCAAGACAACCCCAAAACCGCCCAAGGTATGTCCAAGACGGCGTCGGAGAGGTCCAAGAGGGCCCGAAGACGGCCCAAGAGCGTTCCAAACGGGCCCCAATATGGTTTCAAGATAGCCCAAGAGACCCCCAAGACGCTCCAGGAGGTCCCCAAGGGGATTCACAACAGGCAAAAATCGTCATACTCCCTAGGGAAAGCGTGCATGTTTAACATATTCGCTTTTCTGGTCTTGACAGTGTACAAGACGGCCCAGATTTTGCAGATCTCAGCCCCACAGGGGACGGCGAGGTCTCGTGGTGATCTGCGTGGGACGTACCTCCGTTGGCCTTCCCAGAAGCCCCCAAGAGTGGCGAGAGTTTCGAAGATCGCAGCCCCCAAGGGGACGGTGAGGTCTCGTGGTGATCTGCATGGGACGTGCCTCTGCTGGGCCTCCCAGGAGCTCACGAAAGTGGTGACAGTTTCAAAAATTGCAGCCCCCCAGGGGGTGGCGAGGTCTCGTGGTGATCTGCGTGGGACGTACCCTCAGGGGACGGCGAGGTCTCGTGGTGATCTGCGCGGGACGTGCTTCCGCGAAGCCCACGAAAGTGGCGACGGTTTCGAAGATGCAGGCCCCCAAGGGGACGGTGAGGTCTCGTGGTGATCTGCGTGTGACGCACCTCCGCTGGCCCTCCCAGACGCCAACGAACGTGGCGACAGTTTCGCAGATCGCAGCCCCCCAGGGGGTGGCGAGGTCTCGTGGTGATCTGCGTGGGACGTACCCTCAGGGGACGGCGAGGTCTCGTGGTGATATGCGTGGGACGTACCCTCAGGGGACGGCGAGGTCTCGTGGTGATCTGCGCGGGACGTGCTTCCGCGAAGCCCACGAAAGTGGCGACGGTTTCGAAGATGCAGGCCCCCAAGGGGACGGTGAGGTCTCGTGGTGATCTGCGTGTGACGCACCTCCGCTGGCCCTCCCAGACGCCAACGAACGTGGCGACAGTTTCGCAGATCGCAGCCCCCCAGGGGGTGGCGAGGTCTCGTGGTGATCTGCGTGGGACGTACCCTCAGGGGACGGCGAGGTCTCGTGGTGATCTGCGCGGGAGGTGCTTCCGCGAAGCCCACGAAAGTGGCGACAATTTCGCAAATGGCAGGTCCCCCCAGGGAACGGCGAGGCCTCGTGGTGATCTGCGTGTGACGCACCTCCGCTTGCCCTCCCAGACGCCAACGAACGTGGCGACAGTTTCGACGATCGCAGCCCCCCAGGGGTCGACGAGATCTCGTGGTGATCTGCGTGGGACGTACATCTACTGTGCCTCCCAGAAGCACACGGAAGTGGCGACGGTTTCGAAGATGCAGGCCCCCCCAGGGGGCGACGAGGTCTTGTGGTGGTCTGCGCGGGACGTACCTCCTCTGGCCCTCTCAGAAGCCGACCCAAGTGGCGACGGCTTCGCAGATCGTAGCCCCCCACAGGGGACGGCGAGGTCTCGTTGTGATCTGCGTGTGACGTACCTCCGTTGGCCCACCCAGAAGCCCCCGAGAGTGGCGACGGTTTCGAAGATGCAGGCGCCCCATGGGGGCGACGAGGTCTCGTGGTGATCTGCGTGGGACGTACCTCCGCTGGCCCTCCCAGAAGCCCACGGAAGTGGCGACGGTTCCGAAGATGCAGGCCCCCCCAGGGGGCGACGAGGTCTCGTGGTGGTCTGCGCGGGACGTACCTCCTCTGGCCCTCTCAGAAGCCGACCCAAGTGGCGACGGCTTCGCAGATCGTAGCCCCCCACAGGGGACGGCGAGGTCTCGTTGTGATCTGCGTGTGACGTACCTCCGTTGGCCCACCCAGAAGCCCCCGAGAGTGGCGACGGTTTCGAAGATGCAGGCGCCCCATGGGGGCGACGAGGTCTCGTGGTGATCTGCGTGGGACGTACCTCCGCTGGCCCTCCCAGAAGCCCACGGAAGTGGCGACGGTTTCGAAGATTGCAGCCCCCCCAGGGGACGGCGAGGTCTCGTGGTGATCTGCGTACTTAGGACGTACCTTCGCTGGGCCTGGCCCGTACCTCTTCTGTGCCTCCCAGAGGCCAACGAACGTGGCGACGGTTTCGCAGATCGCAGCCCCCCAGAGGGTGGCGAGGGCTTGTTGTGACCTGCGTGGGACGTACCTTCCTTTGGCCCCCCCCCCAGACTCTTTCGAAAGCGTCGACAAGTTCGCAGATCGCAGGCCCCCTTTGGGGCGACGAGGTCTCGTGGTGCTCTACGTGGGACGTGCCTCCGCCTGCCCCCACGAAAGCCCACGAGAGCGGCGACGGTTTCGCACATCGCAGCCCCCTGGGGGGCGACGGGGTCTCGCGGTGATCTGCGTGGGACGTATTTCTGCTGGGCCTCCCAGGAGCTTACGAAAGGTTTCGAAGATCGCAGCCCCCCCAGGGGCAGGGGGCGGCGAGGTCCCGAGGTGATCTGCGTGGGACGTACCTCCCGCTGGCCCTCCCAAAAGCACCCGGAGGTGGCGACGATTTCGCAGAGCACAGCCCCCCAGGGGACGGCGAGGTCTCGTGGTGATTTGCGTGGGACTTAACTCCGCTGGCCCTTCCAGAAGCCCACGAAATTTGCGACAATGTCGCAGCCCCCCAGGGGGCGACGAGGTCTCGTGGTGATCTGCGTGGGACGTACCTCCGCTGGCCCCTCCCCCAGAAGCCCACGGACGTGGCGACAGTTTCGCAGATCTCAGGCCCCCCAGGGGACGGTAAGTTCTCGTGGTGATCTGCATGGGCCGTACCTTTGCTGGCCCTCCCAGAAGCCCACGAAAGTGGCGACGGTTTCGAAGATCGCAGCCCCCCAAGGGACGGCGAGGTCTCGTGGTGATCTGCGTGGGACGTACTTCCGTTGGCCCTCCCAGAAGCCCACGAACGTGGCGACAGTTTCGAAGATCGCAGCCCCCCAGAGGACGACGAGGTCACGATGCAGGGAGGAGGAGGAAGAAAACGAGGAGGAGGATGAGAATAGAGGGAGTAGAGAGGAATGGAGGAAAGAGGGGGAGGAGAGGAGAATGGAAGGAGGAGAGGAGAATTGAGAGAGGGGGATGGAGGAGGAAGAAACGAGGAGGATAATGGAGGAGGAGGGGGAGGAGGAGGAGGAGGAGGAGGAGGAGGAGAAGAAGGAGTGCCCTATTCAAAACGAGTGCCCAACACAGGAGGGCTGGGAAAATACATTGACTTCTCCATTGTTTTTGAAGGTTTTTTGCGGGTTCTCCCTTGTTCGGTTCCAGAAGGGCCCAAGACGGCCCAAGAGGCCCCAAAGTTCGCCCGCTAGAGCAGCCAGATGATGTCGCCCAAAAGGCCCCAACGTTCGTCCCCAACACGGCCCAGGTTGAGGAGAAGCCAGGCCGCTGAATTGAGGGCGATGGTGGTTGTTTGGTGCGTTTGGGGAAAATGGGCTCGGCAAGATGGCCCGAGGAGAGTCTGGGGCGCCGAACTGACGGCGATGTTGGTTGTTTCGCGCGTTTGGGAAAATTGCCCGGCACATCGGCTTGCAGGGGCACTACTACAAGAGGGCCACCGAGAGGGCCGGAGGGAGCCAAACCCATTGATTTTCAAGTGTTTGTTTAGGTTTTCCAGGTTCTCCCTTTTTCGGGTCCAGAAGGGCCCCAGGCGGCCCAAAAGGCCCCACATATCGCACTAAGACAGCCCCAGATGCCTCCCAGAGTGGCTGAAAACGGTCCAAGAGGGCCCTCCGACGGGCCCAAGACTACCCGAGAGGCTCCAAAGATCATCCCAAGACGGCCCCATAGGTCTGCCAAAGTGGCCGACAACCGTTCAAGAGGGCTCCCAGACGGCCCAAGACGGCCCAAGAGCCAAGAGAGCCCCAAGAGGGCCCCAAGAGGCTCCAAAGAGGGTCCGACGAGGCGGTATGGGGATTGGGCTGCTTGGGTGTAGGGACTCGGCTGGCCCCAAGACGGCCCAAGAGTCTTCAGACAGCCCCAAAGGGCCCCAAAAGACCCCCTAAGAAGCGCCAGAGACGCCAAATGACATCATGGCACCCAACAGCGAGCGGTGACGTAACAATCTCTGAACACCAAGGCTCCCCAGAGCGCGGTGCCGTTCAAAGCTCTTAACAGCAAGGCACCCAGGAGCGAGCGGCAACGCAAAAGTCTGTGAGCATCAGGGCTCCCAACAGAGAGCGGTGGCGCAACAGGCTCTGAGCGCCGAGGCTCACAAGAGCGAAAGGTGCCATGCACCAGCTCGGGCAAGTTCCTGCAGCGCTCTTTCCGTACCGTGCCGCCCCAGGTAACGGAAAGAGGGAGGTACGATTGATGACGTTTTGGTGGGGCGACGCCCTGTAGGGAGGGGTTCAGGGGAGGGGCGAGGCGTACCCGGATGGGATGAAAGGGCGAGCTACGAGTAATGTATGTTATTTGGTTGGGCGAAGCCTTTCAGGGAGGGGTCCAGGGGAGGGGCGAGGCGTACCCGGATGGGATGACGGAAAGAGCGAGGTACGAGTAATGTACGTTATTTGGTTGGGCGAAGCCTTTCAGGGAGGGGTCCAGGGGAAGGGCGAGGCCCGGTGGGACGGGATACATTGGCCAGTTTTCCTGGTATTTTTTCGAGTGACGCGGCCCAAGGGCTCCAAGACGGCCCACGAGGGCCCCAAAGCGACCCGAGAGGGCACCAAGGCGGCCCCAAGAGAGCTTCAGATGGCCTCCAGACGGCCCACGAGAGCTTCAAGACGGCTCCAGAGGGCCCCCGAGAGGGCCCCCAGGGGCCCAAAACAGTGATGTTTCTATGGTTGTTGCAGGTTTGTTGTGTTCTTGCCTCTGCGGGCCAAGAACGCTCCAACACGGCCCAAGAGGCTCCAAAGATCGTCCCAAGACGGCCCAAGAGGCCTCCCAAAACACCCGAAAACGGTCCAAGAGGGCCTCAAGATGGCCCCAGAGGGGCCCACAACGGCCCAAAAGGGCCCCAAGACTGCCCAAGAGGGCTACAGGACGGCTCCAAGAGAGCCCAAGAGGGCCCAAAGAGGCCCCAAGAGGCCCACAAGAGAGCCCCAAGACGGCCAAAGACCTCCAAGACGCTCCAAGACGGCCCAAAAGGGCCCCGAGCCTTCAAAATTGCCCCAAAAGGACTCCCGACGGGCTCCAAAGGGCCCCAAGAAGACCCCGACGAGGCCCAAGAGACGCTCAAGAACACCATGGTTCCCATCAGCGAGCAGTGACGTAACAAGCTCTTGACACCAAGGCTCCCCAGAGCGCGGTGACGTAAAGAGCTCGTCACACCAAGGCTCCCAAGAGCGAGCGGCAACGTAAAAGTCTCTGAACACCAAGGCTCCCTACGGAGAGCGGCGACGTAACAAGCTCTTCACGCCAACGCTCCCAAGAGCGAAGGGTGCCGTGAGTCATCTCGAGCAAGATCCTGAGGCGCTCTTTCCGTTTCCGTGCCAAGTGACGGAAAGATCGAGGTACGAGTGATGTACGTTATTTGGTGGGGCGAAGCCCTTGAAGGGGGGGGGTCCGGGGGAGGGGGGGAGCGGGTGAGGACGGGTGGTCATGGCCAGCTTTCCTTATTTTCGAGTGAAGCGGTTCCCGGGCGGCCAGTGGAGCGGTAAGGGGGCCCCAAGACGGCCCAAGCTTACCATTAGACGGCCCAAGAGAGCACCAAGATGGCCCCAAGAGAGCCGCAGATGGCCTCCAGACGGTCCAGGAGAGCCTCAAGACGGCTCCAGAGGCCCTGAAGAGAGCCCCCGAGAGAGCCCCTCCTGGGGCAAAAAACATTGATTGTTCTATGGCTTTTGAAGGTTTTTGGGTCTTCGGCCCAAAAGGGCACCAAGACGGCCCACGATGGCTACAAGACGGCCCAAGAGAGTTCCAAGAGGCTCCCAAGAGGGCCCCAAGAGGCCCACAAGAGAGGTCCAAGACGGCCAAAGCCCTCCAAGACGCCCCAATACGGCCCAAAAGGGCCCCAAGACGTCTTGGTGCATGTGGCTGTCTGGGGGTTCTTGTGGGTTTGTCCTAGGGCCGCCCCCCCAGAGATTTTGCCGGAACTTGCAATATCCGTCGGGCTCTTGTCAGGGATGCACCAGGCTTCTCAGGTACAGCGTTTGGGCTCTCTTCGGGCCCTTTTGGGCTGTCTTGGGACTCTCTTGGGGCATGTGGCTGTCCAGGTTTTTCTGTTTGTGGTAGGGTCGCCCTTCCAGGCAGATTTGGCAGTAACTTGCAAGATCCGTCGGGTTTCCTCTGTGACAGCCTTGGGGGTCCCTTGGGGCTCTCTTGGGCCGTCTTGGACATCTCTTGGGGCATGTGTGGCTGTCTAGGGGTTCTTGTGGGTTTGTCCTAGGGCCGCCCCCCCAGACAGATTTTGCCGGAATTTGCAAAATCCGTCGGGCTCTTCAGGCGTCTCAGAGACAGCGTTGGAGGTTCCTTGGGGGTCTCTTGAGTCGTCTTGGAGCTCCCCTGGGGCAAGTGGCTGTCTAGGGGTTCCTTTCTGGTTCGACATAGGGCCGCCCCCCCCCCCCCCCCCCCAGACAGATTCTGCAGTAACTTAAAAAAATCCGTTGGGTTCTTGTCCGGGCTACACCAGGCTTCTCAGGTACAGCGTTGGTGCTCTCTTGGGGCCCTATTGGGCCGTCTTGGAACTCTCTGAAGGCATGTGGCTGTCCGTTTTTTTTAGTTTGTCGTAGGGCCGCCCTCCAGACAGATTTTGCAGTAACTTTCAAAATCCGTCTGGTTCTCTCAGGGCTGCGCCAGGCTTCTCAGGTAATTACAGCGTTGGGGCTCTCTTGGGGCCCTCTTGGACCGTCTTGGAAGTCTCTGAGGGCATGTAGCTGTCCAGGTTTTTGTTTGGGTTTGTTGTACAGCGCCACGGACATTTTCCGTCGGTGTTTGAAGGTTTTTCGGGTTATCGTTTTTTCAGGTCCCGAAGGGCCCCAGACAGCCTAAGAGGCCCCAAACATCGTCCCAAGACGGCCCCAGAGGCGCCCCAAAGTGGCCGACAACTGTCCAAGATGGCCCCCAGACGGGCCCACGACGGCCCGAGAGGCCCCAAAGATTGTCCAGAGACCGTCCCAAGTGCGGCTCCATGTCTATCAGCCACCAACGGGACGATTCCGGCGTGTCCGTCCCTGGGGCTTCCAATGGCTACGTTTGCTACATACCGGTGACTGCGGGATCCTGGAAGAACGGGGGTTTGGATCTGGGGAGGTCAAGGACAAATCTGGGCGCGACTGGGCCCGTGATACATCCTTGTTGTCTTCGCCCTTTGGGCGCCCAGAGGCTATGCTTGCTATATCGCGATGGTCCCTGGGCTCTGAGGTGAGAGGCGTCTTGCGTGCCAAAGCTGCAGTTCTACCAAAGATCAAGTATGTGTATGCGAGAGGTCCCGGCGTGCACTGGCCAGACTCCCATTTTGTCCAATGGCTATTCTTGCTTCATCGCGGTGATCATGGGACCCTGAAAGGAAGCAAATGGAAACAGATCTGGGGTGCCTAATTGGGCCTTCTACTTGAGAGTGAACACAAATCTGGACGCAGACTGGCGCGTTGTACACGCCTGGTCGCCTCCACCTTGGCGCGCCGAAGTGCCATGCCTGCTTCATCGCAACGCAACGTGGGGCTCTGAAGGGAAAGGAGTCCGGGGTGCCAAAACAATCGTTCCACCCGAGAGGAAACACGAAGTGACGTGAGTGCATGAGTCTGTCTTTGCATGTGACTGAGTATGACGAAAAGCTGAGTATAACGTGGATCCGATTCTGGGGTGCCTGAGTACGCGTGGGTCTGAGTTACGACTGAGTCTGAGTGTGAGCGGGTCTGAGTGTGAGTGTGTCTTGAGTCCAAGTGAGGGCAGCCTCAGTCTGATCGGTAGAGGAATGCGGGGGGCGAGGCGAGTCGGGCGGAGGCGTGAGACGAATAATCGAGATCAGCCCCGTGTTCAGGATACGGGGAGCACCACAAATCCGACGGCGAGTCTCTGACTCTGATTTAGTTTCCGAGCGGCGCCGTTGCCGCTCGCAGCGGCGACTGCAACACTCGGCGACGACGGCTGACGACGACAACGAGTACACTGACGAGGATGCTGGCGCTGACGACTCCGACGGCGGTGGCGCAAAGCGGCCGCTGCCGCCAGCGAAAGGGATCACGTCGAAGACATGTCTCTTGCCAGATATTGACAGACATTACGTCGCTGCAAGGCAGTCGGCTCTGCGTCCGCCCTCTTCTCGTCTAAGAAGCGCGACGGGCCACCCGACGAGGACCGTGAAACTTGCACATCGGAGTCCTTCCTCCCTATCATCCTCCTCGTCCTTCTGATCCTCGCAAGGAGAGGGGGAGGAGTAGGGGCAATCATGATGAGGAGCAGGAGGAGGAGGAGGAGGAAGAGCAAGTGATACTACGCTTTCGCGACTTTTCAGCCTAACCTGAGGGCCTACAGCCTGCCATTGCGCCCGCCTGACAGGCACGTTGCATTGGCGGAAGCCGACGGCGTCGCCGCAGACGGCGTGGTGGAGGCCGCCCAGCAGGAACAGTTTCGTAAGGAGTAGTAGAGGGAAGGAGGACAGACCCGAGTGATAGAGATCATGCGCAGAGACCGTCTCTTTACTTGAGGCTGCTTCCGCCGACTGAGTGTTTCTTGTTTCTGCATGTAAACGGGTCCCCACTGGCGCGTCGATATTAGCTATAGCTGAATTTTGCGTTGCGGTCGTGCTTCATTCGCGACTGCCTGTTGCTTCGTGTTGCTGGATACGACTGGCACTGTGTCCAATTGCTCGCCACTGTTCACATGTACAAGCGTGTTGTACAACGACATCAAGCTTCATGCGAGTGGCTGCGATGTCTAGCCACTGGGAAGAGCTACTTGTGCATGCCACTACTCCTGAAACCTATCACCACTAGCAACGCGCACAGCAACCACGAGAGAGGAGGATGAGGCCGAGGAACATGAGGACTAGGATCATGATGACGCGGAGAGATATCATGATGCTGCTGATGCAAGAGGGCTGCGAGGATCAAGGGGTTCAGGAGGAGCAGGAGTTGGAGTTAGAGCAGGCGTGGAGGATCTGACGGATATGGTGATGCTGGTGAAATTGATGATGGTTCTGACCGTGATGGCGATGATGGTGACGACAGTGATGATAATTGAAAGCAGGCTGAGCACCATGGTGAGGCGGAGGAGCAGGAATAGTGGATGAAGGATGATGGGGCGAGGGGCGGGAGGTGTAGTCTGTGGGAAAAAAACACACAGTCTGTGGGAAACAACACACACTGTGGGGAAACAGCACACTGTGTGTGTGTTTTTCCCATTGTGTGATTTTGTGTGTGTGGTTTTCCCACTGTGTGTTTTTTTCCCACAGTTTTTCCCACAGTGTGTGTGTGTGTGTTTCCCACTGTGTGTGTGTGTGCTTTTTCCCACAGTGTTTTTTTCCCACGGGCAGATGACAAGAACTGTAAGGATCGTGATCTGAGAACGAAAGGCGGCATGTTATGATCATGCTCGGAGGTCCCTTGGATCTTGTGGATCGGCGCGGACCGCCAGGAGTGTATGTTCACAGTGTGTGCGTGTGTGTGTGTGTGCGTGTGTGTGTGTGTGTGTGCGTGTGTGTGTGTGTGTGTGTGTGTGTGTGTGTGTGCGCGTGTGCGTGTGCGTGTGTGTGAGTGCGTGCGTGTGTGTGTGTGTGTGTGTGTGTGTGTGCGTGTGTGTGTGTGTGTGCGTGTGTGTGTGGGTTGCTCCTCCAGCTGAGGAGGAGATAGCCCGGGATGCCCCAATGATGCTGCAACACGCCCTCCCGTCCCCCGTTTCCTTTTCACGCCCCACGCGCCTGTGCAACTCTTCCTTCTCGCTGCGGGAGCCGCCCTCTTGACAGACGAGCCTGTCATACGCCTGCAACTCAGGCGAGCGCTTCTTGCGCTTCCGCTTGCCATGCGCTTCCATGCGCTCAGTCGTCAGAAAGGCAAAGAGGTATGAACAGAGCGTTGGCGGGCATGCTCAACGGGAGCCCCTAGTCGAGAAGAAGCCGCCCTCCACCCGCGCACATGTTGTATATCTGTCGCATCGCATCCGTACCAGGGAAGTTGCATCAAGTGAGAGCTCTTAAAAGCAGGAACTGATTTCTACCCGGTTAATGTTTACGCGTTTCTCACCTTCACTTCGATACGGAAGTTGAAGCCGAGCCGACACCAATGTCCGCATTGTTTGGAACAGTGTCGAACGAATGTGCGTTGTGCTGGTGCGAAAATTACAGATTGAAGGCAGGTTGTCTTCCATGTGCGCAATTCTGGCTTGCGGTGTTTGGACGAATGCGCGCTGCGCTCAGCAGGGAGGTACAGGTTTTGAAAGCCACCTGCTCCCCCTCCTTGTGGGTTCAGGGTTGCACATTGCCCAGATCTTCAGGGTTACACACTGCTCAGAAGTATCCGGCGAAATGCTCTGCCCACCCAACCGACCCGTCTGGGTGGTATGATGCGACGAGGCCGAGTTGTTTACAAGGAAGATGGATGGATGAGAAGGAAGGAGAAAACAGTTCTGCCGCTGCTTGCAGAGGATAGGGTAGGGTTACACCCCCACCCCCCCTCAAAAAAACAGGTGGGGGGGGCGGACCCCCGGGACAATTTTCGGGACAAGTATTCGGGAGGAGGTGCAGATCCCTCCCCGGGACCCCCCCAACCAAGACAATTATTCGGGAAGGGTGCAGATCTCCCTCCTATTGGGATAGTTGTTCGGGGGTCCCGAAACCCCTCCTCCCTCCCACTCCTTGCAACGACGACGCCCGACGACTCCGACGACGACGACGACGACGACGACAACGACGACGACGACGCGCGACGTTCGACGCACGACGCACAACGACACCGACGCCGACGCCCGACGTCGACGACGTCGACGACGTCGACGACGACGGCGACGACGACGACGACGCCGACGACATCGACGACGACGACGTCGACGACGACCAGGAGAACAACGACGACGATGAGGGTCGAGTAGGCGTAGAGTCGAGCATCGTTGGAGTACAGTTGAGGGTATATTAGATCCGAGTAGACTTGGCATGGGTACGGTCGGGTAGAGCCGGGGGTAGAGTAAAGTAAGGTAGAGTAGGGAGGTGTAGTTCAAATGAGAGTAGGATGGGGCCGAGTAGAGAAGAGTAGTTGGGTAGGGAAGGGCAGAAACAGAGTAGAGCAGAATTGCGTCGAGTAGAATAGCGTAGAGTGGCGTGGGAATTGCGTAGAGTAGAGCAGGAGCAAATTAGGGTAGAGTAGAGAAGAGTACGCTAGGGTACGGTAGCGTCGAGTAGGGTCACGTAAAGTTGGGGAAAGTGGAGTATACCAGAGCAGGGTAGAATAGAGTAGGGCAGAGTAGAGTAGAGCAGAGGAACGTGGAGTAGAGTAGAGTAGGGTCGAGTAGAACAGGGTCGAGTACATTAGGGGTCCTCGTTGGGAACTCCGCTCTCAGTCGTCCACTCCTCTCTCATGGTTTACGGGCCCCCTTCGGAGACTGCTGGTGGTAGCGCATTTTTGATCCCCTTCGGCCGAGCCGAGAATCGTTTTCCACTCGAGCAGCGCCCCTCGCGATCTTCCCGTGCGACTGTACCTGGGCGCATTGGAGAGTTGCGAGTTCGTGGTAGCTCCAGACAGTTCGAGACAACGATCTTCAACATACACAACTACGAGCTAACGGCATCTGATCGGCTGAGATTCCGTGACGCATGGGAGGCCGCCGCTCTCCTCTCTTCCGCGGCTCCTGACGCGCACGACGCCATCATGATTGGCGGCTTCAACATTTCGGCCACGCCTCCGAAGAACCTACTCCGCCCCATGCCCGACTCCACAGCCGAGCGCTACAACTACCAGCCCGTCTATTGGAATAATATATTCTCGCAGATGCTGGAGATCACGCCGAAGGCCACCACGCACAGAAGTGCTGCCAACATGACAGAGGCGACCATCGATCGCTGCTTCGTCTCGCTCAACGCGTCGAACACCCCCCGCGTCGAGACCATCCTCGTCGCTGACGGCCGCCCGCTTGACCGAGAGGGGGAGCCCATCAGCGACCACGAGCCGCTACATCTTCGCCTACACCCTCGGCATTAGCGACCTGCCGACGAGCGGGGTGTCCCGACGTTCTTCTTCGAGTCCAAGCACTGCAAGTTTTACCTCCAGCGCCTCATCAACATGGCCGACTTTTCCGCCCCCGACCCTATCGCGAGGCGGGGGGCAATGAAGCGCATTAGAAGCTGGCGGCTCGCATGGCGTGCGACGCTCTTTCCTGCGCCGCCGCCTCCGAGCCCCCCCCCCCCCCCCTGACGAGCCCAAGATTATTGCCGAGTCCCGTGCGCTCACGCTACGCAGCATTGCCCGTGCGGTATGGTTTCAGGACGTCAAGATTGCCCAACTGCTTCGCGCCGACGCTGCTGCGGGCGCCGCGCGTCTACTCATCCACGACCATCAGGTCAACCTGGTGGGCCGCAATGCCTTCGAGACGGAGCATTCCGCCATGCAGTTCCAGGTTGCCGACCAGAGTCGCCTCGTTGCTGCCGCCCACTCGAGGGCTGCCCTTGCCGCGCAACAGCATGGTCTCAGCGAGCAATGGCGACGCCGTGCTCGACGCATCGGACAGCGCAGCGAGGTCTGGAAGCCCTTCGCCAAGTGTCTTATCCTTGCTTGCGCCCGCATCTCTGACAGCCATGAGCGGAGCAACGCGTCCGGCCCGACGTGCGCGCACGGTGCCATCCAGACGCGCTGGGCCGAGGTATTTGCCGCCAAGCCTGTGCGCCAGCAAATCATGCGCTGTTATTTAGACTCGATACTTTCACAGCAGCCTCTTCGTCATCTTCCGCGCCCTGATGCTGGCGCTCTCCACGCAGCGGCTAGGCTGGCAGGTGACTCTGCCCCAAGTCCTGGCGGACTTCCATATCGTGCGCGGGCCCACTCCGAGGGCAGCATCGACGTGCCCCGCGACCTCCGCGTCTCGATGGCGGCCGGCGGACCCATCCCGTGCGACCTGGACTACGCCATGATGGTCATGCTCCCCAAGGGCGATGACCCGCTCGGCAACTACGTGCGCGCGCGCAGCCCCGACTGTCTGCGCCCCCTGGCCATGAACAGCGACATCAAGATTATTGCTGCCGCTGCCGACCGCGCCCTGCATTCAGTCGCCTCAGGTGCTGAGGAAGAGCAGCAGGGCTTTGTCAACGGCCGCCAGTTCCTCGGCAACATAGTCAAGGTCGACACTGTCGCCCGCATGACCAGCATCGACGACGGCGCGGACAAGTTGATGCCATGTTTCGCCAGCATGGACATCGCAGCTGCATTCCCCAGCCTCACGCGTGACTGGCCTTGGGAAACGCTACGGCGATGGGGCATCCGCGGCAACTTCCTCCAGCTCCTGCAGTGCTGCTACCACGCGCCGCTGGCATTTCTCGAGAGAGTGGCGGCGCTCGGCGTCCTCTTCTGTTGGCGGAGCCGGGGTTGGCCCAAGGCTGCCCGCTGAGCGCACTCTTTGGGCCCTCGCATTCGACCCCATCATCAAAGGCATCGAGGGAGAGCTTTCATCGCTTGGGCGAAGTCCTCTGGGTGCCTGCGCAGACGACCTCGGCACCGTCATCGCTGCCCTGCGTGATCTTCGTGCTCTCCGTCCTCACCTTAGTGCTGCACAACTACACGCTGGGCTACGTCTTCAGCCCAAGAAGTGCGTTCTTGCCCCTACATGGTCGTTGCCCGCGCCCGAGATCATCGACGCCATGCGCAACGCATTGACAGACATCTACGAGCCTTGGAAAGATTTCACAATCAGCAGTGAGGCGTGATACCTTGGTGTCGTTATCGGGCCTGGTGCTTCCATTGACCGTAAATGGCGTGGTCCCGCCAGCAAGTGGCGGGCAAGACTACAGATCCTCGGCGACTCACTTTCCCTATCCAGCAATGCATCAAAATATGCAACGCAGCAGCCGTGACATGTCTATCGCACGTGGGCCAGCTCGTTCCGCCTGCCCCCTTCTTCTTGACCAAGGAGATTCATGGTCTCCGCAAGCTGATCCGCGCGGCTCCCTCGAGCGCCGTGAAGATGGGCATCCGATCGTTCTCCCAATGGGCCTCCACTTCGATACCGCAAGGCATTGAGACATACCTTGCTGCGACTAGGTGGCGCACGGCCACGTTCACTGTCACTGGATGGCAGTCCTTACTTCGAGGGCGTCATGATCTCGCCGAAGATCGCACCCCGATCTCCCAGGTGGTTAGGGGCCGCTGGTCTGCTGCATGTTGGACTGGCCAGACCTCGATCGATCATCGCTTCGACGCCGTCTCCTACAACAAGACGTTCCCAACTGGCAAAGGCTCGATCTTCAAGACCCTCGCTCGCTCGACTGGGTCGACGACAAGAGCGGCTCCTACACTCAGCCGCGCTCGCAAACTCGCCGCTCTTGCAGGACATCGGGCGGGTGGCGCTGCCAGTCGCGACAGGTCAGCAGCAATCCAGGCGCCGTGGCAGGGTGTAAGATGATGACACCACCGTGACAAGGGCTGCTAGCATAACCCCGCCTCAACCAGCATTTCTCCGTGAACTCTAACGTCATCTGTCCCACGATGTCTTCCACAAGACCATGCTGCGTCGTCTCCTTGCCTGGTTCCCCCCGCTGCCCTCGGGCGGCGGCGGCCCCTCCGACGGCGCGGCGGGTCAGGGTGCATCACCAAGTGCACAGAAACTGGCTCAGATGTGGCCACGACTCCAGAGGAACCTCAACCGCTAGTGGACGATGCCGCCCGCGACTCCACGCAGCACCCACACGGGCGTGCTGAAGCATGGGCAGAGCGCCGGGTCCCAAGCGTCTTCGTCGACAACGATATCGACAACCAGAAGGACCTTGATGGGCTGGTGCGCCCCCAACGTGACCGCCGCGCTGCAGAGGCCGCAGTTTGACGCGAACTTCGCCCTCGACGACGCATTCGGTTCTGAGATGGCACGCCGTGACAGGGCGGTCGAGATATGCGCGATGGGGCGGCGGCGCAGTGAGCGTTCCCGCTCTCGGAGACTGGCGGCGTGCACGGACGAGCGGCAATCTACCATTGCTCAGCGTGAGCTGGCCGAGGAAGCTGCCGAACATCGCGCCCGTCGTCGCTGGATCGAGCAGGAGACCCCCGACAACCCACGCCTGGCACCTGATGGAGAACATACCGCGTCAACTACGTCTACCACGACCAGTGCGAGCTGGCGACACGTGAACATCCTCGAGAACTACGCTGCATCATCACGTGATGGACTTCTTGGGAGAAGCTCCATCCCCAACTCGATCACAAACGAGCGGCGCGCGCTGAAGAAGTTGTTGGCGAACGCGACTTCCTCGCTTCTCTGGCCGATGGTCAAGGCGCTGGCGGGGGCGCGGGCCACAACCCACCGAATGCGCGTGAACCCATGCGCGAAGCCATGCCACTTCGGATGCGACGCACACGACGACTCCAGGAACACAGACGACATCAGCCGCCACCTGACCTGCTCGCATATGTGGGCCACAGTCGCCCGACCGTGGGGCCAGCTCTCCTCGGACGCCCTCGCTCGCATTGGTCTGGCGCATCACGAGCAATAAGACGACCGCCCACGGCGCGTCATCGCAAGGCTGGCAGTGGCATACAGAACACGCAACATCCTGCGCAACCTGGGCGAGTTCGACAGCGCGACGGACTCCAACGCCCAGCGCAGCAACTACATGTACATCAGCAACATCCACGCGGCCGCGGCCGCCCGCCGCGCCCTGAGGCCCCCGCGGCGCCTCGCGGGCGGCGCCAGGCCGCTGCGCCGCTGACCTGTGGACACGCGCCCCTCTGCGCGTCGTTTGCTCGTTGGAAACTGGGGGGCCTGGATCGAGATTTCGCGGCGTTCTATCAGAGTCGGCGCCTGGTGCGGGCGCCGGCGAAAGGTGCGCCGCCGCCGCTGACGTCGTCGTCGTCGCCCTTGGGGGAGAGAGGTTCTCTGGCCCCCCCGAATCTCAGAACAGGAAAACACATAAACACAAATGGTTTTTATTGGTTGTACGCCGGAAGGGGGCGTCGTTGAGAGGGCGCTCGGCACGGATGCTGGGGTCGGTGCGGCGTCGGTCTTTGGAGTTGGCGGTTTGCGTGGCAAGTGCGTTTAGCTGGTCGCATGTGTTCGGAACGCGTGACGGGTGGAAAAGCCGCTCACCAGCAAGTGGCAGTCCTCTGCCCGCGGGCCAGAACAAATCGTCGCGCGGTCGCAACGGAGCGCGGGAAAGGGGGCTGGGAAGAGAACGCGAGTCTCATTCCCAAGAAGCCCCTTCGATGGGCAGCAAAGAATTCTTGTTCTATTCATCTGCCGCGCGGCCAACCGAACGAGCAACTGTCTCGGCGCGCAGCGTTAGCTTCGCTTGCGCGCATCCTGGCGCCCTTCCGTTGCTTCCTTCGCTTCTTTCTCGCCCTCCTCTTCTTTTTCCTTCCCCCTGCTTTGCCTTGCCCCGCCCTCCCTTCTTTCCCAGCTCGGAGCTGCGACCGCGCGCGAAGAGCGCTACCCGACGGGCGTTGCTGTAATTCCTTTGTGCGCCACGAAGTCTCGTGTAATTATTTCGCGCGCGGTCTGGTTACACTGCCAAAGCGGGGGGCGCGCAAATGAATTCCCTTTGTGTGCGATCGTTTTCGCCGAGCACGCGCGATTCCATTGTGTAGAGCTTGCTTTCCCACCTCGAGGAGCGCACGGGGCCTGGCGCTACAATCGCAAGGCCGCGGCGCCTGGCAGTGCGATGCAGCTGCGCAGGATACCACTCCCAAAACGATCCTGCGTGGATTTCGGCTCTTCTGCCAAAGTCGCGCTGGCAGTTGGCCAGCCACATCGCCGGCCCTGCATGCCCGCTCGCGCTACTGCGTTCTGCTGCCGCGACGCGTGCTGCCGTCGACGGATGAACAAACTGACGTTGCACGGTGGTTTGGCTGTGCCAAACCACCATGGAATGTTTGTTGGTAGCGGATCTTGGGATCTTGTCGCCGCCGACAGCCTTGCCACACCATACATGTCAACTGCGTCCTAGAGCGCGGCCGTGCATCAACCCTGGTTCGGATCGTTGGGGATCCAGTCGCATGTGCGCACATGCGTTGCACCGTTGGTGGTGCCAAAGCCCTGTGTGTGTGCGTGTGCGCGCGCGTGTGTTTTTCTGGTTCCAAGAATGATTCTCCCGGGGGTTAAGGGGGTGAGGGGGGGGGGGCTTTCTGGACCTCTCGAATATTTTTTTAAAGGGGGTCAGCGGGGGGGGGGGGGGTAAGGGGAGGTCTCCTGGTTTTTGACACACTCTTCGGATTTTGTGCTGGCGGGCGCCCCTGGGTTCGCGAGTCCCCCGCAAGGAAACTCTTCAGGCCAGCGACGGTGGATCGCGTTCGAAGGAAGGGTTTGAATCATATTGTGATGTCGACGGCTTCGACGATGGCGATATCGATCATGACGGGGGGAGGAAGTGGGGGAATTTGGGGGCATGGAGTACGCGGATGAGGAAGAGGAGGACCACACGCGCGAACCATCAACAACTTTGCCAGCAGCAGCACGGAGAGGCGGAGCCGGAACTGCGGGAGGACAGCGAGCACTGATGTGTGACTGGCGCAGGGGATGGACAGTGGGAGGAATCGGCATTGGGAAGATGCGTGGGGCTGCCGCGGGTGATGATGATGGTGAGGCGGCGCTGCACGAGAGGCTGCCTCCCGAGGGCGCGGAGGTGCGACAGCTCGCCGGGTCAACCACCGACGGGGTCAAGAAGGCCAGCACCGGCGGCGACGAGGCCAAGAAGGCCAGCAGTGGCGGCGAGGAGGCGCCAGATCACACCACGTGTGCTTTTGCTGGCGTTGTTTTTCTTTCTCCTTCTCCCGCCACCCGCTTCTCCGTGTCACGTTGCGGCGCAGCCCTGCTGTGGCGGCATGCAGCCCATGACGTTGGGGTCACCCATCACACGGGCAGAACATGCATCTCTACAGGACAAGTGTTGTTGATCCATTATCACCAGCGCCCGTTTGGTTTTACATTCAGGTGTCCCCCCCCCCCCGGGGTCCGCACCCTGTTCGTTATCGGGGGATGTCTTCCCGCTCGAGTTGCATTGCCAGCCCCCTGGCTTACAAGAACATCAACCACCACCATCACAACAAGGATAATCATTTTAAGGTTGTTCGCTCTTACCTGCTCGCGTGACACTCAACACGTATATTCCAAACCTTCGGTGCCCACCCTCTTCGTTTTCGAAAGTGCCCCTCTTGGGGATAATTGTTTTCCCTACCTGCCGCGTGTAGTTGGCGCAACCCCCGAAGCAAGGTAAGGAGGGTAGGAGTGCAAAAACAAAGTGGAGGGAGAAGGATGGAACACGAGAGAAATTTGCAGGAGGAGGGCGAGGAACAGCAGCGCAACCGGCAGCACCAGCTTGGCGTGTCGAGTGTTGGGCGGGCTGACCCCATACGGCCAGGTCGAGCGGGCGAGTCGCTCAAGCGTCAACCCATTATAAAGGTTCGAGCGATAACGCGATTCTCAGTAAATCGTTAGGACATCCAGAGCGAGAGCGTGATTTTTTAGTCTTTGGGGCACGGCGCCGCAATACATTGTGAGGAGGTTCCTTGCAAGAGCGCGATCCTTAAATACAGCGCGGACTTGAAACAGGTTGTCAGGAAGTATCAGGCGGGGGCCGCTGTTGTTGTAAACTGGGGGCCAGGGGCGCAGTTTGGTGAATACTGACTTCCCTTGATAAAACAACAGGGTGCGAGCCCCAGGAGAAACACTTTAATTGAAACATCAAGTGGTCACCGTGGGATCAACAATACTTATGTTCAAGAAATGTGCAGTTCAACGACAACAGCACAAACCCATCACCAACACCAGCAACAACAACATCAACACCGGCAACAACACTCATATTAAGACTGGTCGCTCTTATTTTCTCACGTGCCAGAAAACAGGTATCTCCCAAGGCCTCGAGACCCGCCCTCTTCGTCCTCGATCGTACTACCTTGGGTGTGTATGTTTCTTGCCTGCGGCGTGTATTTCGTGCAGCCCCGAAGGCAAGAGAAGAGAGAACGGATCGAAGGAAGGGACAATAGGAGAGGGAGGAGGATGGAACACGAGATAAAGTAGCAGCATTGGGGGCTTGGAGCAGCAAACACGTGGCAGAACCAGGCGGGCAGCCTGGACTGGGCAGACCCTACTTGGCGGGTCGTGAGGGCGGGCCAAGGCGGCCAGGTCGAGAACGCGGGTTGCTGAAGCGTGCGTCCTGCATGAATCGCGAGGAAGTCTCGAGCGATAGCGCCATTCCCACGTAACTCGTGTGGAAATCTACAGCGAGAGCGTGATTCCTGAGTGTCGAGGGCGCGGCGTGCCCCCCTTGGGGGAGATCTGCCTTGCCTGCCACGCGCGTGCAGTGCAGCCCCTATAGCAGGGGAGGGGGGGACGGATGGAAGAGGGAGGGGGAAGGATGGAGCACGAGAGACACTTGCAGAAGGGAGGCTAGAAGCAGAAAGCACGTGGCAGAGCCACACGGGCAGATCTGGCGGTCGGACCATAGCGGGCGGGTCGGGAAGGCGGTCCCAGGCGACCAGGTCGAGCAGGCGGGTTGTTGAAGCATGCGTCCTGCACGGGTCGCGAACAAGTCTCGGGCGATAGCGCGATTCCTATGCAAATAATCTAGTTTTGTAATAGAACAGCCAAAGCCAGAGCGTGGTTCCTGACTGTCGAGGGCGTGGCGTCTGAATAAATTGCGAGTGGGTCCTACGCGAAAGCGCGAATATTGCAACACTTGTGAAGTGGTCCTGCGCGAGAGCGTTGAATTAATTCACAGGAAGTACCAGACAGGAGCCGCCATCGTTTGAGCCTTTAAGATGTCCCTTATGACAAAGAAACAAACACGGTGCGAGCCCCGGGAGGGGAACTTCAATCGGAAACATGCAATGTGCGCCAGAGGGGGTTAACAATATTCGTTCAGAAGTGAACGTCCGAGAACAACAACGATTCCAACGGTCGGACCCCGCACTCGAATCTCTTTATTGCCCTTTGCTAGATAATTTCCGCCCGTGCCGAGACCCCCCTTCCCGCCCTCTGTTGCGCCTCCTCCTCCTCATCCTCCTTATCTCCCTCGTTCTCAGCCTCCATCGCCCTCCTCGTTGCAATGCTCCTCCTCTTTCTCGTTATCCTCCTTGCCCTCCTCCACCTCCTCCTCTTCCTCCTCCTCCTCCTCCTCATTTCCATCCCGCCCGTTTCCCTCATGCACCTTCCCTCCTTCATGGCGGGGGCGCGCATGTCGATTTTCCCTTTCGCCCTCGCCGCCGCGCCTGGCAGGGGCTCTCTTTTCCGACGGCAAAATCGCGAAGCCGTCGGGACAATTCTTCGGGCCAGGCCGTTGGGACAACCCCGCGAGCCGCTGGGGCGCGGGAACAAGCCGTTGGGACAACCCCGCAGGTACCGAACCAGTCGCGGCCGCGCTGAGGCGGGAGGCTGCCGCGAGCTGCTCCGCCGCAGCCCTGGAGTCACCCGCTCTCTTGTCGAACTCTTCGAGCGCCTCCCGCAGGGGCGCCAGCGGCCCGCGCTCCAGGAACTCTCGCGCGGGCGACCGCAGGCTCAGCACGTTCCGCATGCACGTGGCGCGGGAAAAACATGACGTAGATATGCAGGCACCACGGGTCGTCCGACGTGCCCGTGCGACCAGCGTCCTCATCCCTGGCGCAGTCGATGGCGACGCCCTTGCGCACCGTCTGGCCCTGCGACAGCATGGAGGTCAGGTATGACGCGTGCGTCAGGGTGACCCCCAACGGCGCACGACGTGCGGCCCCGTTTTTTGCCACGTGAACTCGTGCTCGCCGGGCCTGAACATGAGCAAGTTCCTCGCCCGCGCTTCGGCCTGGCTGTCGTCAGGCCGATTATTCGGCCTGGCCGCCGGGTCGCGGTCCTTGCTTGAGACTTCCACAAGATTCAGGCTTGAGGGGCCCCAGCGTCATGGCAGTTACAAGTTTTGGATGTCCCGCTCGGAGTACCAACGTAAAGTGTTGGCCCCGTATGCACAGAGCTCCCGTCCGAGACTTTCTTGCAATTCATCCACAAACGAGGCTCCTTCTTGGTATTTCCTCCATACTCAAGCCTCGAACGCCCCAACGTGACGACAATTACACGTTTTGGATGACCCGCTTGGGTTGCCAACGCGAAGTGCGGGCCCCATAGGGAGGGAGTTGCCACCTGAGGCGTCTTCACAAGTCAATCACAGACAAGGCCCCCGTTTGATACAACGTCCAGATTCAAGCCTCACGGGCCCCGAAGTGACGACAGTTACAGGCCTTGGATGGCCCGCTCGGAATACCAACCTGCAGTGCGGGCCCCGCGCGGACAGAACTCCCGCCCGAGACTTCCTCCCAATTCACCCACAGACGAGGTTGCTGCTGGACACTTCTTCCATACTCGAGCCGCACAGGCCCCAAACTGGCGACAGTTACACGTTTTAGATGACCCGCGCGGGTTGCCAACGTGAGTTGTTGGCCCCATAGGGAGGAAGCAGCCGCGTGATACGCCTTCATTACTCACAGACGAATCTGCCGCATGAGATTTCCTCATGGTGGTGATGCTGAGCGGGTGAGTGAGTGAGTGAGTGAGTGAGTGAGTGAGTGAGTGAGTGAGTGAGTAATGATGCGTGGGCGGATGTTGATGACAAAATGGATGACGAGGATGAGGATGAGGATGATGATAATAATGATGATGATGATGATGATGATGATGATGATGATGATGATGATGATGATGATGATGATGATGATGATGATGATGATGATGGTGGTGGTGGTGATGATGATGATGATGATGATGATGATGATGATGATGATGATGATGATGATGATGATGATGATGATGATGATGATGATGATGGCGAGTATGGTACTGATGATAATGATGACGAGTGTGGAAAAGATCGCCATGGTGATGGTGATGAGGTGGAACAGAGGCGGCCCGAAGGTGGAAGAGAGGGGAGGACGAGGAAGATCATGCGCGGAGGTGCGCAACGAAATCCAGAACCACACTTCGGATGTGGGGAACAACAATAGCAAAAGCAACAGCAACAACCATCATGCTTAGACTGTTCGTTCTCGTCTGCTCGTGTGTCAATGAGCACGTATACCCCGAAACCTCATACGCGCCCTTTTCGTCTTCTACCGCGCCCCCTTAGAGGTATAGTTTCCTTGCCTGCCACGTGAAATTGGCGAGGCCACTAGAACAGGTGGGGAAGGATGCAGGAAGCAAAAGAAAGCGAGGAGGAAAAGAGTGCGGGATTGCAAAGAAACCGGAAAGGGACAAGTGGGGAGGGATAGGGACAGAGCACGAACAAGATTAGCAGGAGAGGCGTTTGGAGCAGGAAACAAGCGGCAGATCCAGACGGGCGGGTCGGGCGGGCGGGTCTTAATGGGCAGGCCGGCTGGTGGACCCAGACAGGCGGGTCGGGCGGGTGGGTCGCTGATTCGTGAGTTCTTTTTGAAGCCCAAGGAAGTCTTGAGCGATAGCGTGATTTCGCAGTAAACCTTGAGAAATTCTAGAGCGAGAGCGTGGTTCCTGAGTGTCGATGCGCGGCGTCTGAGTATGTCGTGGGGAAGTCCCACGCGAGAGCGCGATCCCTGGGTAAATTGCAAGGGAACTTTGAGCGAGACCCAGTTTTCTCAATCACATATGGGGAAGTATCAGGCGGGAGCCGTTAAAGCTGGAAGCCGGGCGACAGGGGCACGGTCTTAGGCGCAGCATTTGTTGGGAAAGAGACAATTTGCGAGCCATGGGAAAGGCATTTCAATTGAACAACGCATGTTACCAGAGCGGGGGGGCCAGCACTGTTCATTTAAGACCTGAGAACTCAACAGCGACTCCTGAGCGATACTTCCTCACATGCTATTCCCAATCACGTTCTCGCGCGGGATTCCCTTGCAATTTACACCAGAATCGCGGTCTCGCTTAGGATTTCTTTGCGATGTTTTCTGATGCCGCGCCATACAAGGAATCGCGCTATCGTACGATACATCTTCACAAATTACTCAGGATGTGTGCTCTCGCCTAGGTTTCTTCGCAACTTGCAAAGTTCGTGTCAATGCGATGCGCGCCCGATCCGCCTGTTAAGGCCCGCCCGCCCGACAGCCCCTTAGAATCCGTCTGCCTGATTTGCCCGTTTGGGTCCGCCCGCTCGACTGCTTGAAGCTTGCCCGCCCTTTTCAACGTCCTTCTTACCAGGGTCCGCCTGCCCGACCCGCCCGTCAAACGCTCGCCCGACCAGCCCGTTAGGATCCTCCCGCCCGACCAGCCCGTCAGGGTCCGCCAGTCCGCGTGCTGGGAAGCCCTTCCGCCCGCTTGAATGCCCCGCCCGCCCGACCCGCCCGTTAGGATCCGCCCGCCCGCCGCCAGTTAGGGCCGGCCGGCAAGGAAGACATACTTCAAAAGGGATCGGAGACGACGAGGGCGGGTACCGAAGGTTGTGCGGGGCGTGCGTGTTGAATTACACGCTAGCAGCGAAGAGCAATCAGTCGCAAAAGGTTTGTTGCTGTTGAGACCCCCTCTCCTGCAAAGTAATCATTGTTGATCGCCCCATCTGGTGCCCATTGCTTGTCGGTTGAAGTGCGTCACCCCAGGGGGCTCGCGCTTTGCTTTGCCTGAAGCGAGCGTGTCGCCAGAGGGTTCGAAGTTGGAAAAATAAGACAAGAAAGAGTCCCGGAAGGGGGACGGTGAGCCCGAGAACACAAGTGCCGGCATCCGTTTCGCCTGAGACGTCCCTATTACTCATTCAGGAGCCGTGCTCTCGCCTCAGTGCCGACTGCATGCTTGGTCCAATTTGCCACGACTCTTGGGAGAGGTAGCTACTACGGTGCACATGGCCGTGCCCGCGCCCCTGCCACACGGCCACGACCCCGGGCAAACAAAAAAGCACTGTGGTGCACATGGTTTTGCTCCCACCCCTGCCGCGCGGCCATGATCCCATGTGAAAAAGATGACGGTGCGTCGGAGCCCCGAATCATCAGGGGTAACTCGGGTCAGGGCTAACTTGGGTTCGCTTTTCGGGATTCCGAACCCGACTTACCCCGGGCCCGAGTTACCCCGGATAATTCGGGCGCCCAGAGCCCCACATCATCAGGGGTAATTCGGGTCAGGGCTAACTCGGGTTCGCTTTTCGGGATTCCGAACCCGACTTACCCCGGGCCCGAGTTACCCCGGATAATTCGGGCGTCCGGAGCCCCACATCACCAGGGGGAACTCGGGTCAGCGCTAACTCGGGTTCCTTTTTCGGGAATCCGAACCCGAGTTGCCCCGGACCCGAGTCACCCCGGATAATTCGGGCGCCCAGAGCCCCACATCATCAGGGATAACTCGGGTCAGGGCTAACTCGGGTTCCTTTTTCCGGGATTCCGAACCCGACTTACCCCGGGCCCGAGTTACCCCGGATAATTCGGGCGTCCAGAGCCCCACATCATCAGGGGTAACTCGGGTCAGGGCTAACTCGGGTTCCTTTTTCCGGGATTCCGAACCCGACTTACCCCGGGCCCGAGTTACCCCGGATAATTCGGGCGTCCAGAGCCCCACATCATCAGGGGTAACTCGGGTCAGGGCTAACTCGGGTTCCTTTTTCCGGGATTCCGAACCCGACTTACCCCGGGCCCGAGTTACCCCGGATAATTCGGGCGTCCGGAGCCCCACATCACCAGGGGTAACTCGGGTCAGGGCTAACTCGGGTTCCTTTTTCGGGAATCCGAACCCGAGTTGCCCCGGGCCCGAGTTACTCCGGATAATTCGGGCGTCCAGAGCCCCACATCATCAGGGACAACTCGGGTCAGGGCTAATTCGGGTTCCTTTTTCCGGGATTCCGAACCCGACTTACCCCGGGCCCGAGTTACCCCGGATAATTCGGGCGTCCAGAGCCCCACATCGTCAGGGGTAATTCGGGTCAGGGCTAACTCGGGTTCGCTTTTCGGGGATCCAGACCCGAGTTACTCCGGACCCGAGCTGCCTCGGATAGCTCGGGCGCCCAAGTGCGCATGGCCGTGCTGCCACCCCTGTCACACGGCCACGATGCCTTCTGGAAACACACACTACGGTGCACCCGGCCCCTCTCTCGCCCTGCCCACGCGGCTGCGACCCCTTCGAAAATTCACTACCGTGCACACGGCCGTGCTCTCTCAGTCCTGCCGCCGCGGGCGCCATCTGTTGCAACAGCCACATTACTGTGCGCATGGCTGTGCTGTCGGCTGGATCTCACGGCCACGATACCTTTGTAGAACATTCGCCACGGTGCGCACGGCCGTGCTGTCACACACTCGCCATGCGACTCGACTTTAGTTTTTTATGTATAATTATGGAAAGAGAACAAAGTACGGTGCACATGGCCATGCGCTTACCCTTGTCACACGGCAATACCCCCCTGGAAAAAAACAGCACCACGATGCCCATGGCCGTCCTCGCACCCGTGACTGCCACGATCCCTGGCAGACATACATGTAGGTGCAAATGGCCATGTTCTAACTTCTGTCACACGGCCACGGCTGTTGGTAAAAGGACAGTGCCCTTGAAAACCCAAACTCAGGTGCGCATGGTCGCGCTGTCACCCTGGTTCCCGGCCACGATCGCCCTGTAAAACATTAACAAAGGTCAACATGGCCATCTTTTTTGTCCCAAGTAGCCGGTCTCGTACTGTTCGACCTGCCTCCTCACCTTTGTTGTTATTTGGGTGCTTTGCTCGGGTAATGTATCAGGGGAAGTCTTGATGTTCAAACTGTGTTGTCGGCCGGCATTTTACCACCAAGGCGGTTTCCTGCGAATGCGC